ACAGTGAGCGTGATTTATACATGCCCTAATCATTATTATTTTATCATGATGATTTATTGATATACTGATTTTTTTAAATTAACATATCATGTGTTAAGAAAAAACTAATGGAAATACTTCGGTTATAATTTGCTCATTAATTGTGTATTAATTATTTGACTACCTTTCTACTTCGGTAATCACTATTATCAAAGATTAAAACCGTTATCAGTTTTCTTTCCAAAACATTCTTTTAATGAGATACATATAATTAATATTGTCAAGATAACAAACGACTTCAATTCCAGGTCTACTTGATTGAAAAAAAATTTGTCCCAATACACATTCACTGATAGGAGTATAGCAGGGTTGTGAAATGCAGTTGGTGTATTTTTGTTCAGAAGTTAAAATTTTCATAAAGAATCAGATGAAACAAAAAGACTTATTCATTATCATTAAATTTCAAATGTAAAAATCTAAATTCTGACATCCAATCACAGCACTTGATGCTATTTCGATTTCAACTAATCAGATTACAAAGATGAACAGTTTACGACCAATTAAAAAAATTATTAAAGGTGAGTTACACACTTGCAAAACAAGTACACCAATCACCAATTCCTAAATTTTTTTTATCACACCCTACAATTTCTAATCAATGGGTGGTGGGGAATCACGATGGTCGTGCAATTCATTTCAACCTCACACCAGAAAATAGAATATAACATTTATACAAAATCAAGCCAAAAGTGGATCTGGTTGTGGGAGACTGCAATTAATAAAGTGGGCAAAACTTAAAAATGGTCTATCGCATGATTATAGTCTGTAGGTCAAATAAAAGCTTATAATGAAAGGAATATGAATATACATATAATATGGTCATACAATAAGAATATACACATAACTCCTAACGGTTACCTTTCATTTATTATTGTCAGCATATAACGGAAAGTATTTGGGAAATTTGAACTACAAAACTATTCGAGGTTTCAGCAACATTCAACTATTATTGCGATAATATGACTTCAAATATTTTCCTTTCAGATACTGGTCGAATTACTTCCAATCAGAGTTAACCTTCAGCCAGGTGAAAGAACAACTATTACTGTGAAGTATGTATTTCCACTGAATTCCACTTATCCAAACTCGTCTGTAGAAATTAGTGTAGGTGGAGCAAACGATAACAATGAGACTATAATAAGTGTCAATGATTTCAAAATAAGTTTGGGTTCAAATTTAGTCCCACTGACAACTACTTATTCATCTACCTATGAACCAAATAATCAGACAGGCCTAATCGATCACCTGATAATTCGCTTTAAAAATATCTCTAATATCGGTGAGTTGACCATTAAATTTAAGTTTAATGGATGGGATTCATATTCTTTATCTTATCTAGACAACAAATTAGCTACTCAGTTGCCACGATAATCCTATGACTCAGAACAAAATTGAATGTTTATGCTAATATAAGCAAATTAATACATTTGTAATATCCCAACGAGTAGACAAATGAGATTTTCTGACATTTCGTGACTCAGTGTAAGCCACTTCTTCGGAGAATTAATAACGAAATTAAAATTAATCCAGGTTTAAATAGTACAAAGGAACATCGCAAGAAAGTATGTGCGATCAATAAGAAGCAGGTCTGAACAAGCAGATGTCATGGATAGATAATCCAAGTTGGATGTTTATTGAGGCGTTCATTTGTATTGAGAGCGGTAGGGATAAGCATTATATGGAAGGCTTCAGCTACTCTCCATTCTTTATAGTTGGAAAAACCCTTTTGATGTTTTTGAAATCGATTTGGTGGTTGTTGAAAATGGCGTGAATTGCTATTGCCTATTTAATTTGAAGTCTATCCAGTTCTACGGGATTATTCGATAGTTTCTTTGTGTACCTAAGATATTCTTTGGTTCGAGTCAAGATTTCTCGAGATGACTTTCCAACATCGAAAGCATCACAATCGACACATCCTAATTTGTAGACACAGTTCTCTGTTGACATAAAGAGAAGTATTTATTTCAAGCGAACTAAATTATCTCGAAGTGTGTTCGTTGTTCTATAATATACTTTAATTATGTGTTGTTTTAAGATTCTTTGGAGTTCTCCTGTTGTGCCATGGCGGTATTAGTTTTTGGTTAATTCTAATCTGGCTATTAATTTTCTGAAGAAGAGGCTTAGGTCAGAAAATCTTATTTTTCTACTCATTGGGATATTACAAATATATTATTTTATTTATAACAATCTACCCAATGCTCAGTTTATTTGAAATTATCAAGTCAAACCTTGGTGATGATGCTTACAAACTCATTTACGCAAATAGTTTTTCGAGATTATTGTATAAATGGAATTCACCGGATACCAGCTAGGTTTTTTAAATGTTGGGGGCTCACTGTGAGTCCGTGTTCTATCCCAGGTGGGTCGTGAGTGTACGCTGTCAAAAAATCCAGTATTAAAACGAATCAACCGTTCAGTGCTTCTTGACTTTCAATCATTATTTATCTAACATTAATCCATGACAAAATCCATGATGTAATCCATGAGATTCAATAACCTCAGCAAACTCTCTGTAGTGAAATAACCATTTACCTGTGATTAGGACTTTTTTAGGTGATCTAAAATCCACTCGGATTGCAATATGAAACGTTTGCCAGAAACATTACATGTTCTAGATGTCCAAATGAGTGACAAATTTCCAGAAACGTCTGCTCTGCTTTTTGTTATAATATCATACAATAAATTTAAGAGTGTTACTTGGATGGCCTACCATTAATTCAATACAAATACATTGTCCTAGAATCTAAATTGCACGAAATATTTATGAGAACGTTATTTGCAATTTACAGGAACCGTAAGTGTACCTCTAATGCGCAACACTGCCATCCTTTCAGTGGATATCCAGTTAAGTGATAGTAAAAGTGTTGAAAATGGGACTGTCTGGTTGCTGCAATTTGCTGGTCGATTCAATAATATTACAAAACTCACCAACTTATCTGTAACTTGTGTAAGAACTGGCTTGGAAAAACCTTCAATTAAAGTTGTAACATCTCAATTATCACTGGTCGCATCCAATGATTGCCCTGATCGGTTTGTTCAAAATATTCTAACCTTCGTTTCGTGTTTATACTTTCATATAATTGATTCCCTATTACAAATGAGTTGATTTTACAATAGTAGATTGTAATTATTCTGTTAAGTAGTCTTCTAGTGCATCTCAGGATCTATTTATCAACATTTAAACGTAGTGTAAATCACCTACAACTTACGATGTGAATATCAGTATGAAATGACATCAGTTCGTAGCCATTTGTACAACACTACCACAAGAAATACCTTAATCAGTCTATTGTGTTACTTGACTACCAAGCTACCATTAAGTCAATGTCATAAAATTTGATTTGAAAACGAATTACCTTGTGATACAGATTAATGTCAAACTCGAATCATTCATGTCACACAGTGTTGCTAATTCACATGAGTTTATTCACCTTCTGCAGGTCACTAGTAATATAAGTTATATGTAAAAACTGCATGAATATTATATTTGAGATCATCTCAGCGATTTAACTCTACATAATTCCAACCTTTCGTCCGCGGTGTTGGTTTGCACTTGGTCAGGGTAATAATCGAAATCAATTATTCAGGTTAGAACCATTATAAAAACTACTGTTTTGGCGACAGGAGGTAATACATTTCGTGTGGTTCTGCTTCACCAGCATAATGTGAAATTGTCCAGTTTCTGAGCTTTTATATCGTTCAGTTCAAAATCAGTGATTTCTAACTTGATAAAGTCATACATTCAACTGTTCCTCCGGCTTAACCTGTTTTTGATTCTAAGGAATACTGTTTTCACTCAGTATCACTTTTGAATTATTTGTTCATGGTTCGTACTAAAACCGTTCGATCTGTTTGTTTAGCCGAATTCTAGCTGGTCAGAAGCATTATTATTATTATTATTATTATTATTATTATTATTATTATTATTATTGTTATTATTAATTTAGCTACTGACTGAAATTAGTTAAATCATCCGAAAATATTTTCAACAAAGTTTAACCCAAAATTTCATCATCATCATCATCATCACCTTCGTTGTACTTACATTTTCACATTCATACATAATGATCGTATATCAAAGAATTCCAACAGATTTGATCATTATACTAATTCATACTGTTTGTAAGTTGATGAATGATTGTTTAGGTTTAAACTAATATATTACATTCAGTAGCTCATGTATCATTTGAACAATCCACAAATTTGTGTGAAAATAATTCATTGTAAGTCTGTTGAAAGAATATTAATAGTTTATGATCATAGTCGTGATGGTAATAAATATTTATATGATTCTCTTTAAGTGTCCTTTGTTGATCAGAGGCTTATTAATTATTATGTTTGAAACTTCACGAATTCGCTTAAACTGCGGACGAGAACAATACTCAGTGACCAAAGACCAGTGATCTAACTATTGACGCGTCCCAGCCCCGCTATCTAAAAGAAGTCCAGGCTTGGTATGGAAAATATATTCTGCAACAGCCAGCAGCGAGCGAGCAAGCAAACAAGCGAGCATTCAAACACAATTTAAACATATATATATATATATATATATATATATATATATATATATATATATATATATATATATATATATAACCGATATTGTCATAGAAAATTTTTAAACACTAATCAACGGGTTCATAAATTGACCTATTTGCCCAGTGAATCGATAGTTCATCAATTGACTGCTATTCAATCATTTAACCGATCAGCTCATCAATTGACCCTAATACAAATATTTAAACATTTAATCAATAAGTTGATCGATGCGATAAAATTTAAAAATATGAGTTTGGGGATCTATCGTCCCCAACATTAATAAACAGGAGAGATTGGTTACCGAATGATCGTTAATAACATGTATGTTTAGTTCTTAGTGGTGACCTAAATCTATGGTTCACTTAGCTACTAGCAAGCACCGAATAACACACAACCAGCGTTTCCTACCGACTATCTTCAACCACCTAACAAATTTCTGTGTGATATAGATACATAAGTAACACAAAATGTGGTATAATTGTGTGTACTGAGCAGTGACAAGACATTTATTTCACTTGTGGTATACAGTATAGACATCATTTATTAACTATTTATGTCTAGAATTCGGAATCGCTAGTCAAATTGAACTAATGTGACTCAAACGATAGAGGAAGCGGTCAACTATAATCACAGTCAAATTAAACTATGCTACAAACAAGTAGTAGAGCAATATCTTCAATTTTCTTCATCAATACAACGTCCCAAACACGTTTGTTCTACCATTCGATATACGTGAACTAAATTGCAAATGATTACTGTGCAAACTAACCATAAACATATTCTCAGTCTATTTAAACCAGTAACTGAGCCTAAAGACAGACAACTAATAGATAACAAATCAAATGAGGAAAGGATCACCTCTAGAAGCTAACACATAGAAAGCCCATAGAACAGATGAAAGTAATCAGAACTACTAAACATGTCTCGACTTGATTAGTTTAAATGACGGTTCTAAACTAATTAAGAGTATTGGCCTGGGGACATTTCAGTTGAATGATATAACTTTCAATATAACGTCCAATGAAAGACAGTGCTAAAGATAAATTTTCTCAAAATAGTGTATCCATAGTTTCACTGACTGTTGATTTTAATACTTTCAATATTTTTGGTAAGTGCGAAAACTGTCCAGTAATATACAAAACGCAATTTAAAATATTTAGACTGTCTAAAATAAGGGTGAAACTCAGTTGATCTTTAGTCAGCCATTAATGCTAATGCGTTATCTTGATATAAGCATGTTTGCTGACGCTTCTGTTTGTTTGGAATATCACATCAATAGTGTATAAGAATAGTGGTTAAAGGTAAGATGAGCACAATTCTCAAGAATTTCAGGATATTTATTGGCATTATTTTCAGTTTCGTTTATGGTTGAACTGAACGAACAAATCCTAAACCTTAATGATCTGTTGTTGATTGTGTAGAAACTAAAGTCAGCGATTTCATATTGAAATCATATTCAAAGCTCTTTACTCTTAGTTTCGATTTACCAGCTTTGCAAGATGGAGAAACTTGTAGAAGTACTAAACTGTGCAGAGATATTCATCAAATTACGATTTTGGGATGGTCAGGTCATATCAAAATAGTACAAATTCCGGTATATTTAGCTAATGTACCGATAATAGTTTGTTGTAATAAGTATACGTCTTGATATCTCATCTCCAGACTCAAATCACTGATTTTTAATAGCAAATTAATGGTTTTCTGCAAGTCAGTTCCACACACTAAAAATAAAGTTATTGAAATATACATAACAAATTTCACTTATGTACATATTCTAAATCACTTGTGTGTATAAGACCGCAATACACAATCTTTTTGATTAGGAGCTGTGTTAATGGTCACTGCATTAATGGAACCTGTGTATGTAATACATGTTGGATCGGGAAAACCTGTGAAGAACGAGGTAAGTCAGTCATTTATGGTTTAACTAGTCAATATTACTAATAACAAGATAATTTTCTGTTCGGTTTTATAAATATTTGGTTACATTCTATCCTTTTCTTTATCGAGATGATGATAAAGACTCTTATCTGAAGCTCATAAGATTTACTGTGGTGTATTCTACTGATCCCTGTCTACATAAGTAGTATGTAAACCAATCACAAGTTGTATGTCTCTCAAAAAAAGCTTGAGAAGATAGCACTGAAAAAACAGAATAGGGAAGCATGAAGGGATTGAGAGATGGAAGAATCATGAATGATGTAAGGATAAATGATGTAGGATTTGCAAATGAAGTATTCAATGTAACTCTCTAATTTTGCATTGAACAATAAATTATTATTCCACACCTGAGTTCTTCATTAACTACATTACTTGTAGAAGAAATAAACATTACACTGAATGGATAATAATTCACATTTCTTGATAAGCTTGTAGTCAAATTCACTTCGCATCTTGTTATAGGAAATCTTGGAAAATCATCAGTTGGTCAACTAAAAGCAAAATCTCCTCATGAATTGGTTTATCTATTTGTAAAAACGTTCAATCATTTGTATGGTGCATTGGTTACAGTTGAAGAAATATTTTCCATTCCATGATTAATAAGTCCTTTCTGGTTTATATTTATTGTGAAATATTAACATTTTAGTACATAGAATTCCGAAATTCAATCAGACAGTATTCACCTTCGAAACCAAGTTTTCTAACTGGGTCAATGGAAGTCTGATTGGTAGTCTTTCTCTGAGTGATGAAAACTCCTCCTTAGCATCGTGTGGAAGTGTTCAATTTAACATTGTAGCTGGTTCAAACTACTTACCAGTACCTATCGATGGAGCAACTGGTATTTTGAAAGTAATTGAAAGTGATTATGAATAATCTACAAGATTAGAAGAAAGAAAACACTGTAATATAAGACTATAGTCATCACTGAGTGAAAGTTCCAGAGAGACGAAGGAGGGGAAAATACAAGAACTAAAACAGAAAGGATCAGATAAGATGTAGAAACGTCTTTGTGACGTTCATATTTTAAGAAGCGGTAATAGATAGAAATTCTGATTTTCTATATTTGCTTTGTTTTATTCCGTAAATTAGATTTTGGTTATAGATGAGTTGATATACCAAATAATTGTAGTCAATCTACAAACTTGAAGAAATATATGATAAAAGATGTCACATCAAATGACTCAACATCGCTTAAAATCGGTTCTGTGAATGGGTCTAAATTGGTTTGAAATTGCAGTAGTATACCTTCGTAAGTTGATATTAACTCATATCTTTGGTGGCAAATTATAGATATAAAAGTGGAGAATTTCGTGAGAATTCCAACCCTTAATCCATTTTTGTTAATTGTTTTCCGTAGTCTTCGGAGTTCACAATGACAAGTCAAATAAGTGTTTCATCCGCTCCTGTCAATGATTCAAATGACTTCAGTATTAGGATGCGATTCCAAGTTGGTCTATTCTCTCAAATGTCGATTCCACCAATAGGTGCCAATTTAACAGTCAGAATGGAGGCATTTTTGACTCCAAAGGTTACTGTAGATATTCTCATGAGAGTTTCCTCGAACTGTCCGATTCAATATGATTCAGTTAACTTTACCAAGTGCCCACCGATAGTGGAAATAGGTGGGGTTTATGAATATTCTGTGGACTACTTTATAAGCAGACCCATTGGCGATTATGTGGTGAGTGATAAGTATGATACTTGAACAATTTACTTAATTGTTGCATACTATGACGTGCCTCATTGCGAAAAATTAATTTGTTCATCATCAATATGAAATATGTGGAGCTTTATGTCACGAGACATTTCAACAGCTAGATGAATGCATATTATTGTCTTTTGAGGATCAAAAGGATGTTCATCGTTCGGAGACAAGGCATGTAACGAATTTATTTAACGATCACCCAGACTTGCTTTTATCCACTTAACTATATCAAAACCTCTCTCTTACAAAATTGGTGATTGCTGACAGTCAGTATCCTACCTAAATTTACCACTAATTCGTTATCATTTAGTGGCCCGTGGATCTGACTCCTATTTAGATCGCATAAATGTTTGTTATTGTCTATTCTCATATATAATCGTCGACTTAAATCACGTTATCCAATAACGGAATTAAATAAGTCAAATAACGGGAATGGGATTTTGAATACATATATTTTGTATATGTGGTGAATGGAATAGAAGGAAGAGAAGCGACGCAGAGTGAAGATGGCTGGTAAGCCAACTCATTTTTAGTCAGGCGTTAATCAATATTTATAGGCAGACAAAAATAAGCTACAGACATTCAGTGAGTCATGGGATATGATGTGTGCACACATATACGCTCATATAAAAACAGTCAAGGCTAATAAGCGAATAATTAACAAGGTCAAAATATGACTCAAGTAGAATGAATAGAATGGAATGTCCGAAAGCTAGAATAAGATTAATGGGCTTAAAATAATGACTGACACTACAATCAGAATAATCCAGATCTTAACTGCTAGTAAAGAAAACTGTTCACGAAATTCAGTGATCAAGACTGTTTGTTTCCTCCTCTCAGATTTCGCTAATACGATAAATTTCATTTGGTGATCAATAACACTTATGATTCAATCTTCAGTACAGATTATACATATATTTAGTTCGCTCTTTCGAATAATAATTAATATCGGTTAGTTTTCGTACAAAAATCTGTAATCTAAAAGTGATGATAAATTCAGTAGAACTAGACAAGGCTATTAAAACATGTCGAGTCCTGATGAACACTTCAAAATTACAAACTAAATAGAAAAGGTGTCAGGTTTTGATGATAATTACTCCAGAGAATATCAGCTAGAGGAGTACAGATGCTGCGAAATATTAAAAACCTGATAGTCAGATGTCTGTGAAAATCTGATTTTATTCAGTTATTCTGCTTAAGAATATAATGATTCAGCTGACACTGTAAATGAGTCAGATGAATTACGTGGATTAAACACCATATTAATTAAATCAAGATCATTTGTCAAGATCAACAACATTCAAGTATGTTATAATCATCACCTCTATCTTTACCACACTCAACAAATGTGGTTCAGTGTTTTTCATTAAATTCCGATAAAGTCTGATATGATATTGGAATACATTTATAAACCTTTAAATCATTAGAAGAAATATAAGAATAATCGACCACTCTTTTGAAAAAACAAGATCTGTTTTAAAGAAGGACAGGTGGATAAAATAAAACTCTATTAAGGTTTATCATCTCACATCGTACCGCCATAAATCAAAATCATAGATTATCTAACATTTAAAAACTTGAAATACGTTGGATAATCGACCAAATACAACGAAGTGAATTTGCTAGACTTATTATCCTGGTGAGTATATTCTCATTTTTATGGGGACAATTTTTAGTACTGACAGTGTGTTGTTTTAGCTGAAATGCTATCACTACTTCTCTCTAATATCAATGATCATAATTTTTTCTAAGTATTTGACCTACTGACTAGTATTCAAT